ATATGATTTACGATAAATTTAAGAAGTATTATCAGTCCTTTTAATTGAAAAAGAGGGGGGGGGGAGCTCATGTGCGTGTTTGTATATATTTTGCCAACTTATGTTTTACTCTTGTTGTTAATATAAGAGTTAATTTGATTTTTAATTAATTATTATCTCCGTTCTTAATATAAGAACTAGTTAACTAATTCTAGTAGATCAGAAAAATAAATTAAATTAGTTATTTGTAATAAATAAATGTTATCTTCCCTAAAATATTCTTACTAATCAAGTGTATTGACTAGAACTATCATTATTAGAAAGATTACTTTGAAAGAAAATACATAAATATAAAAAAAAAGTAAATTAAAGTTTTATACTTATGACCAAATTAAAACTCAAACGAATTTTTATATTAAGGATAGGAAATAGTATATAAAAAGAAATAAGATGGGTATTTGCTCATTAATTCATAAAGTAAGATGAAAATTGAAAGCACAAAAGCGGCCCCTGTGCACGCATTGATGATTAATTAACGAGTACGTAGGTACGCATTCATTGATTTTTACTTGCAGTGATGAATAAATCACCGATTGACCTCAAATAACAAAGGGATGGATATATTATTGTATTCTATGAATAAATTCGTTCCCATCTACTGTACAAATCTTTTTAACTAATTATTAAAACTAGACAATAATATTATTTTTTTGAATTAGTACAAAATGATATATTGAAAAAAGAGAGTTCAAATATTATAAACAGTCAAATAATTTATATTAGCAACATCAAGAGAAAGACAACTAGTTTTATTAATCATATCAATATAATAAGAAAAGAAGTTATAAATGTGATGTGAAGTAAAAGAAGTTGTAAATGTCCAAAAACAGAAGAAGAAGAAAAAGTTATAAATAAGAGAGTGAACTTCATCCATCATTTAGTATTAGAAATAATAATTAACTCATTATAATTATATTAAAGTGAAAACTTTTTCTAACTATACTCATAAAATGAGATTGTGAGGATGATAGAAATATACAAAGAGTCATATTTAAGTACTCTTCCGGTTCTTAATATAGGACTTAATTGTTGAGTTGGTTTTGGTTCTAAATATAAGACACATTTCTCATATTTATTAATTTTTCTAAATTACCCCTATGGATACTTTTTCAACCATAATTAAGTAGAAGAGGAAGAGAGGATATTAAGAAAGATGATTATGGTTTTTTAGGAAAAACATGTCACATTTCTTATAATTAATTAACTTACTTAACTTCCTTAATCTAATCAAATTAGTTAAATGAGTCTTATATTAAGGACTGGAGGAGTATTGACTAGATCAAGAAATTTTTTTTACAGCATGGATGAAAGGAAGCATGTGTATAAATGGCAATGCACGCCTTTATTAGGGTTTTATGACCCAATAATTTCAAACTCCTTTGGAGTTTTTAAAATGTGAAATTATGAATTCGAACTCAAATCCATGTTAATCAAGAGACACTCACATGATTATAAATATATTAAATACTACTATGATAATGGATGGAGTTGTACTGTTTACCCTTACTCCCTTCCCTCACTCATTATTACAAGATCCACCTAATTATATTACATAATTTTAGAAACTGTTAAAATTAGTTAAAAGTAATAAATATACTGAAAATATATATATTTTTAAATATGTCCTTATTTGTAATTGGATAGGTGTGAGTGAGGGGAAAAAATAGGAGAGAATGCATGGAAAAAAGATAATGAGAGAGAGTATATTAATTAAAGATAAAGTCAATAAAAATGTCTTTATTGTGTAGATAAACTTAAAAGAGATTCTATAAATAGGAATAAAACAATTCAAAAAATTAAATCTTATAATAAGAGACGGAAAAATACATAATCACATCTCTATTTCAATAATGGTTTGTTTTTTCTTTGGGAAACTTTATGACGCGTGATGAAGTATTTGATGTTTAAGGTATGATACGTGTCAACTAATTACCAAGGCGGTGAGTCAGGGTGTCACTGAATAAAGGCGAAACAATGGATGGAGGGTGAAATGAAATGGTTAAAAGAGACGGGCAAGTGGAGTGGTGATGCGAGAGTATGTGGCACGAGACACATCATCCCTCCCCTTGTCAACCAGCATCAACCAAACTTTATCGCATCATCATCATCTTTTTCCTTAGTAAACGTTCTCCGCCCTTTTGCCCGCATGTTGCTTTCACTCCCCCCCGTCTAATTAGGCAGTACTATTTCATTGAACCACCCATTATTCTTTCTTTTCGTTTTTGATTTAATTAGTGCTGTTCATTTCCATAAGTCCTCAAGTGGCCCCGCAACCACACAACCTGCAATTGGCATACACTGACACAATATTGTCTGGTTCAATTCTGGGCGCTTCGTTGCTCCTGTCGTCCTCTTCCCATGCTTCTGTCTTACTTTGTTTTCGATTGATAGATTCCAAACCCACCATAATTCCAAATCAGCTCTCTTCCTTCTCAATTTTGATGTCTATCGAATATCCTTAGAATCTACTAGTACACCCAACCCGCATTTATTTTCTTTAAATTTGAACTCTTGAAAATTTGATTTGAATCGCATACCAGACAGAGTATTTAACATCACAAAAGATGCCAGGAGATTTATTTATTATTATGCACAGCAAGCAAGCTAACTAGGATCATTACTCAGGGAAACAACCATTAGCCCGCATATTATTATTTCCAGTCCTAATTATAAGACTTTATTTATAATTTACAAACAAAACATTATAATTAGGACCGGAGGTAATATCATATCCATTATACAAATATGAAATTTTTTGCTATCTTAAAATTTCTGGGAAACGATTAGCTTCACAGGATGTTGCCTCCCTAGTTTCATAACATTCAAGAAGGAAGTCAACAACTTAGCTGCTTAGACTTACATTTTAATTCACAATTCGTAATAATTCACGTTTTATTAATGAAAAAAAGGGGATCTAATGAAGGCCATCAGCAAAAATACCTGAACTCGACACGCTTCTCGTTATTAATGCAACGGACACTATCAAGCTAAAAAGAATCCCCCGCGAAGACACAGATTGAACCGCCACAATTCTTCATTTTTCTTTTCTTCTTTGAGTTATCACACTTACCAGAAATAGGAAAAATATCTCAGCTCAGGAATATATTTACAGATTACTTAATAAAATTCTCGCTTTTTTTTTTTTTTTTTAAATCCAGGAGAGGGCAAAGCCTGAAAAATCAAAGAGAAAAGGGAAGGAAAAACAAAAAAAAGCACGATGCGGAGTTCGGCCGTTCTGTGACATGAACTGGACCTAACCCCAAGCTTCCAAGCCCATAAGATTGAAAACACTATTTGGGCCACAAATATCAAGCTTTGGACTAGGCCTTCTCAATGCCTAACAAGGCCCAGCAGTTCAGATTTGCAATCAAGACAATACATGGGCTGGGCCTAATGAAGGTGAAGATAAACAGTTTTTAGCCGGAAAGAGATACTGCCTCCGGTCCTAATTATAATAACTAATTAATTAATTTGAAAAGATTAAAAAAATAAGTTAGATCAGTTATTTGTCATAAATAGATGTTGTGTTTTTCTGAAATATCCTTGTTAATTAAGTGTACTGGTTAGAAATACTATTATTATAAGGACTACCTTAGAAAAAAATATATAAATATGAGAAATAAAATAGATTGAGATCTTATATTTAGGACCAAGATAAAAATTAAACGAGTTCTTATATTAAAAACCGGAGGAGGTAGTACATTGATAAATGCAAAGGGTTATCATTTAATAATATATATCTATCACATTTTTACCTGTAACCTTTCGTCTTTTCAATGAAGTTGTCTTTTTATCCACAAAAAAAAAAAAAAGTACGAATAGGGTTTCTCAATTTCATGGCAATTGTTCCATTTGTACATTAAAATTTCCATGGCACTAAGCACGTGAAGGATTTTTTCCCATTCAACATAGAAGAAAGATCCATTACCTAGAAAATAAAAAGAAAAATGATACTTTTGTGGCTTATAAATTTTGATATTTTCCCGTCATTTTGATATGCGTAAATAGGTTTTTTTTTAAAAATATTTTTACTAATCAAATGTATTGGTTAGAACTATTATTATTATAATGACTACCTCAAAAACAAATGGATAAATATGAAAAACAAAAAATATTAAAATATTATATTTAAGACCCAATTAAAAGTTAAACCAGCTGTTATATTAACCACTGATAACTTGTACTAATAAACAACACGTCATTAAGTAGGTCATGTCACGGTATGCGTACTTTTCAACAAAACTCACGTTACATTATTAGCCATTAAAAATTACATACACAATTAGTCATTAAGTGTTAATACATACTACCTTCTATCCTTAATATAAGATGCCGTTTAATTTTTAGTTTGATCATAATTATAAGACTCCAATCTATTTTGTCTCTCATATTTATGTATTTTTTTCTCAGATAGTCCTTCTAATAATGATAGTTTTACCCAATATACTTAATTAGCAAGGATATTTTAAGAATGACAACACTTATTTATTACAAATAACTAACTTAACTTACTTTCTTAATCTCTTCAAATTAGTCAACTATGTCTTATAACTAGGAACGGATATAGTATTATAAAAAATATCCTACAAATTAGTCATTAAAGTTAGTTTAAAAAGTGATTTTGATCCCCAAATATAAGATATTAATACATTTTGTTCTTTATTTTTTTTATTTTTTTTCCAAATTAATTTATCCAATTGATATATGATTTAATGAATTAATGTTATATATATTATAAAAAAGGTCATATTTATTAAAACTAAGTAATTTATTCAGCTTACTTAACATATTTATCTAACTTTTGTACTAGTATATTAAGGAGTACTACTATGTTAATTAGCACTCTCACGTTAATTAAATTTTCAATTGGTCCGTTTAAGAGAAATCAAAATAAGCAGACAAGTCAGAGCGACCGGCCATATTATTTAGGCCAGAGGCACGGGTGATGAGAAACGTGGCTTAATCCCTCCTAAAACCTCACAGCTCCAAGAGCAGAAGAAATGGCGAGCTCGGAAGATCTGCTGCAAACTTTAGGGGACTTCACGAGCAAAGAGAACTGGGACAAGTTCTTCACCATTCGAGGCAGCGATGACTCCTTCGAGTGGTACGCCGAGTGGCCTCAGCTCAGTCATCCCCTCCTCTCTCATCTCTCCAACCTCCCTTCTCTCGCCCATGCTTCCACTCCTCAGCTACTCGTACCAGGCTGCGGAAACTCTCGCCTTTCCGAGCATCTCTACGATGCCGGCTTTCCTGGCATTACTAATATCGATTTCTCCAAGGTTGTTATCGGAGATATGTTGCGCCGCAACATCCGGCAACGCCCCCATATGCGGTGGCGGGTCATGGACATGACCAGCATGCAGGTACCATTGCTTATGTGGAATTCTGAATTCTGTATACATCTGCAGTATATTCATCATGGGTTTTATAGTAATTCCTACGTTAGAAGACGTAGCTGGAAATATGAAGTGATGAAAAGTTGACGTTTTCGTAACATTTGTAAGCGGTATTTCATTCCACCTCAAAATCTAGGAAAACGAGCTCGATGATTTTGCAGTAGCCGTGTCATGCCAGGCTAGTTAGTGTTTGCAAAGGGATGTAGTCTAGGAAACTATGGTTGCATACTACTCTATTGACCCTTCTGTTACATTATCAAGCTTCTTTGCCCAAACATTCGCCTCAGGGTCAAGAGTCTTCTATTTCGAACGTACAAAACCTCTCTTAGGTGACGGTATTAGCTGATTTAATCTACAGGTCCTGTATAGCTGGGAGATTCTTGCATTGTGATCTTCATTCTCTGCTAGTCTGCCGGGGGGGGGGGGAGAGGGAATAGTTTACCTACTTTTGTTGTGGAAACCAATGTTGAAGTCTTCATACTTCTATAATTGGAAGAAGCCGAAGTCAAGCATGATGAGAAGACTCCAATCCAAGGGAGCTCTCACTCCCCATCTTTACCTAATAAAATATAAGTTGAGCTGGGTTTGGTGCGTCATGTAGACCTCTTAAAAGAACCATGGCGACAGCATCAGGAGAGCTGCTACTTTTACCTGATGTATGATTTGGAACACTGTTATTTGAGAGATTTGGATTGTAAAAGAACCATTAAAAGAACCATATTAAATGAATAATCATTTACCAGGGAAAAACAAGTAGGTTCTGAAGATATTCTCACCGACTACTTCCTTCGTTAACTATTTTTCTTGCACTCTATCTTCATTTTTTCGACTATATAATCCCCCCGCCCCACGGGGTGCAGTTTGCAGAGGGCACTTTTGATGCTGTCATTGATAAAGGCGGACTGGATGCTCTGATGGAGCCGAAGCTTGGTCCAAAGTTGGGAAATCAGTATCTATCGGAGGTTTTCTAAGATTTTATTTATTTCTATGTAACTGAAGATCAATATAGTCTGATTGGCAGACGGTTTTGTGCATTCATTGTTTGTTAACACAAGTGAACTTTTATTTATAGGTAAAGAGAGTTTTGAAATCTGCTGGAAAATATGTGTGCCTTACCTTGGCTGAATCTCACGTGCTAGGTAAGGTTCCTGAATGTTGCCTTTTTTCCATAGTTATTTATTAGCGAGAAATCATTGACATCTAAGAATTCCAATTGGAGGTAGTGGGGGTATGTGAAGGGTGATTAATCATATGTTGGAAGCATGGATGAAAAATAGGCCATAGACTACCGCTAATTTAATATGCTAGCTGCCTCATATTTTTTGTGACCTATGTACTTGTTTTTTCCTTTTTGATAAAGTGAAAATCATAATAATATAACATACATCTAGAAGACAGAAGCAATATATGATAATTGACGTTACTGATGGAAATTGAAGAGAGATAGTCTAGTTCCATTGCTGAGTTTGGTAGTGTTGGACATTCCTTTAGTTAGTGGCAATGGATACAACGGAGAGGCTTGATATGTAGAACCCACCTTCATGCTAATCACAATTTTATTTATTTTCTTATGGTGCTAAATTACTTTACGCAATAGCATTAATGTGAAAATCATATGCATACCCCTTATCAACATTCTGGCAGAACAACTCCCCCATCTTGTGTAACTCTTACAGCTAAGTAGGAAATTGTTGCTACTGAAGGAATTCTATGCTCTCTTCTTAAATTGCTTGTAGTGGACTCGGGCATGTCTATTATTTCTCAAAAGACCTTCTGGAACTGCAGCATCATGTTATTTATTTGTTTATTTCTCTGGGTCTGATTGGTTTTGCATGGCTAGAGGATAATATAACTCATGTACTCTTTTCAGATATTCTTTTCTCAAAGTTCCGAATTGGGTGGAAAATGACTGTTGATGCTGTACCTATGGAGTCTTCTACTAAACCCAGCCTTCAAACATTTTTAGTTGTAGCGGAGAAGGAGATATCTACATTGGTGCACCAGATTACATCTTTACTCGATAATTCTTCTCTTCAGTGTAATTCAAAACAGGTAGAACATATGAGCTTGCCTGATCTTTGAAGGATGAGTACTTTCTTGAAACAAAGATCAATGATTATTAGCTTTGGCTGCTTGCTGCTAATCAGTGTTAATTTTTGACTCTCTTCTCTGTATGCTTTGATTTCTCATTTTGCAAGGCTTGTGGACTTCGTGAAGCTCTTCAAAATGAGAATCAAATCCGTAAACAATACTCCAGTAGTTCTGACATATTATACTCTCTTGAAGAACTGCAACTTGGAGTAGGAGGGGAACTGACAAAGCTTTCCCAAGGTCGACGTTTACAACTAACTTTGGGCGGACAAGGGAGCTCTCGTTTCTCCTACAGAACTGTACTTCTTGATGCTGAGGAAACCTCTGACCCATTTACATATCACTGCGGGGTTTTCATTGTGCCTAATGTATGTCTTAGTGCAGACTGCCTTTGGTGTTTGTATGGCATTCCGTCTGATTTTGTATCAAGGAAAGAATCTTGTTAGCATATCTGCTCATAAATTGCTGTGCAAATCAACAAACTTTCCCTGCAATTTTGTGCGTTCCAGCACTGCCAAGACATTAAATGGAGTAAAACTGTGGATTTTTTAAAACTACATAGTTCACTGTTATTGAGAAACTTATCTTAGTGAAACTATTATAGTTCTATTTGACGTTCTTAACTCTTAGGTATATGTTGGATTTCAGACTCGTGCCCGTGAGTGGCTGTTTTTCTCTGAAGAAGGACAGTGGATGGTGGTCAGGAGCTCAAAAGCAGCACGTCTTGTAATGGTAAGAATATTGGTACTTGGATTAGTTGCATCACCTTTAAAGCTTCTAACCTAATCCATCTACATTAGGTTTTCCTAGACCCCAGCCATACTAATGCAAGCATGGATGAGATTCAGGTAGAATCTGCCCCTTAAATTTTACTTGATTACGCACAAGCCATTCTAACAGATTTAATGCATTATTTTTTACTAAAAAGAGCTTGATATCTCTTTTCAGAAGGATTTATCTCCCCTGGTTAAACAACTGGAACCTGCCAAAAATCAGAGTGGTGCTCAGATACCGTCTGTTTTTTTATACCTACTGCTTATACTTGATTTTTTTCTTCATGGTGTTCATTTTGAATATTTTTTCGTTGAATCAGTATTTATTCTTATTGAATTGATGCCAACAGAGTGTGTGTATAGGCTTCCCCTGCCCTAAGTGAAAGAAAAGAAAATAGGAAAACCTTATTGAGGGCAGTCTTTGCTTGTTACTATCGGCAGTATAATCATGTTATCTGTGACTCACATACAACACTGTTTTTTGAAAATTTAGATCGACTATATCCTCAACTTCATGTTGAGAGTGCTATTCAAGTGTTACAGCTAGTATGATGCAACTTAGAATGGCTAATATCCCAAGTAGACTAATTTGTAATGAAGCAAAGTGCACCAAGCTGTAGGTGACTCTAATTTAGACTTTGGTACTAGTTCTTGTCTTGTTTGAACCCATTTCTGTTGAAGCATTAGAAACTTATCGAGTTATTTTTGAATCTGTTAGGCATGAAGCAAGAAAAGAATTTGTAAATTCCTTGTGTCTACAATTCACACATTAGAGCTGTCACTGTTTGTTTATCCATTATTCTGGGAAATCTCTGATTAGGATACCATTTTGATCTATGAGTATTGAGTATCCTACAATTTAAAACAAAAGTCCAATCATATATTTTATGCCTTTTATATCCTTTTACATTTCTGAAATTGCTGCTTTCTCATAAATTCTTGAATGTACACATGCAGCTTCTTGATGGCAAGTGATGGGATCAAGAAACGAAATATTGTTCACCAGGTTTTTGACAATTTACTTAATAATCTTTCTGTTTTGTAATTTTCTTGAGTTTTCCCTCTGGGGGAGGGGAGGATTGCCCTTGTCTGCCTGACATCATATTGCCTTCATTCGGAGATGTATTTCCATAAAAAATAAATTCTTGCTTTGTTTGTATGAAGATTATCAAATCCTTAAATAATCTAAGCGACACTGCTTCTGACTTCCAAGTTTGCTATTTTTTGGCTATCAGTTCGGTTTCATTCTTGTAGGGTTGTCTTATTATTGTTTTTGTTCTATTATTTTCTCTTAATTCAATAAATTCTGTTTTTATCAACAATGGAAGAAAAGATCATCTCTTAACCACAGGTTTTTCTTTTCCTTTGCCCGTTAACTACAGGTTTTTCACTTTGTTAGAAAATCTGTATATTATAAAAGTAAAATGATGTTACACTGTTTTGAAACTGTGCTTGATTGACATGTTTTTATTATTATTTTTCTAAATGGAAAATTTCTCTCCCCATGCACTAGCACGAGGGCTTTGCTAGTTATTACCTAAATTTATCACATGGATGATTTTGCTACTTGGTTTTAGATGTTCATATTCTTGTCATCATCAAAAAGTTGTCTGGGTTTTGCAGGTCACATCATCGTTAACTGGACCCATTATTGTTGAAGATGTAGTTTATGAAAATGTAGACGATGATGTCAGTCATGTTTTTCCTTCGAGTGATCTGGTGTTTCGACGCCTTGTATTTGAGAGAGCTGCAAATCTAGTGCAGTCTGAAGCTATTCTAAAAGAGGAACAGTTACCTAGCAAACTGATTGGTGAGACAGAGAAGAAGAAGAAGAAGACCAACTCAGCTTCCAAATCTCGGAAAAAGGGATCTCAGAGAAAAGTTGGTGGTAATTACTCCTTTTCTTGAACGCTATAGAAAGAGTGATCCTAACTCTGGGTGGGTGGGTCTTAAAACCTTTTATGTATTATTTTCCTTCTGTCAGCATTTCATTAAAGGGCTATAGAAAAGGATCCATTGCTAGATATTTATGGTGTACCTGGTTGTATATTTGGTGGCTGAAGTTCTTCAGAGTGCGTGTTGTGTTTTTTGGTGTGGGGGGCACGGCCTGGGGGGGATTATTAGGGAATGGAAAGAGTGATTGTCAGCATGCCTGAATTTGATATTTCTTTGAAGTTACTCCATTCTAGCTGTTCACTTTTTTTCCTCTTGATGTTGTAGAAGCAACCAACCAGTCAGCAGTTTATCATGGATATCTAGCTAGTTCTTATCACACAGGAATTATTTCTGGATTAATGTTAATATCTTCCTATATGGAAAGTATCGCATCAAGTGGGAAGATGGTAAGTATTTGCAACATTTATTTTTCTATTTGTGTAGAAAAATCATACGAAGAAATAAAGATCGGTATTTAGGGTTTTTGAGGAAGCTGCTATTGAATTTCATATTCTGTGGAGATAGTTCAAAGATGGTTTCCTTTTTCTATCTGCAACATGAGTAGTCTTCATATAATAATTATTTTGCTATCCAGAATAACTTATACATACAATTTATATTTCTCAGGTTAAAGCAGTCATAGTAGGTCTTGGAGCTGGTTTACTTCCCATGTTTCTTCATAGATGCATCCCCTTTATGCATATTGAGGTAACATTGTTATGCCCCAAAGGTGGTTAAAATTAAGGACTCAGACCCTTCCTAGATTGGAGGATATTTTATTCTTCAGAAATCAGAACTATGTTACGTGATATCATGTGGCTTGATAAGAATTTATGTGCGCAGGCTGTGGAGTTAGATCCTATCATTGTTGATATTGCAAGGGGTTACTTTAATTTTGCTGAAGATGAACGCTTAAAGGTAATTTGAGGTACCCCTTTGTTTTCCTTCTCAAGGTTTAAAGAAACATCTTGGTCATCTGAAAACATTTTTCTTCTGAGGACTTCCTTGACATGCGATTGTCTTTAGGAAGGAAAAGAATGCAAGCTGAAATGGGAAGGAAGAGAAAAGATGAAACGGAGGGGGGGGGGGGGGGGAACCGGAGGTAGGGGTGTTAGCATTGAGAAGGGAGAAGAAACTAACAAGAAAATGCTAATTCACTCAACACCGATTTCACCCATCTAACTCCCTATTTATAGTCTTATTACCCATATTCCCAAACTACTCCTGACCTTATTCCCGATTTCCATGTATCAAGGGGGTGATAGTATGTATTCTCTAAGAACACCAAAAGAAGTCTTGAATTAACCATCTGAAATAGTAGTCAGAAAGATCAATGGGAAAATAAAACAAAAGGCCAAAGAAGTGAAGCTAAGCCATTCCTGCAAAGTGCAAACTACCCAAACCCTTTCCTGGCTGGGCATGTCAAGTGGCTTACTGTTAATATGATAATGGATTTCCTACAGAAATCCTTCCATAGCATGAATATTCTATTCTAACGGTAACGCATGGATATGGTGGATGAATCTTCATTGAGGCAAGTCGTAACATTGTGTGCTAAATTTCTATGCTTTTTGGAACCCAGGTGCATGTAACTGATGGGATCCAATTTGTCACTGACATAGAGGTTGCTGTTTCTACAACAACTGAAGTTAGCACTGCTCCATCTCATTCTAGTGGGGATTGCATTACATCTCATGTAGAAGGCAAAGGGGGTTCTAAAGTTGATATTATTGTTATTGATGTCGATTCTTCAGATCCAAGGTGAATATGAATTAAAACATTTGTGCAATAATATTAAGCTGTTATATGATAACCAAGGAAGCAGTTATCAAGATGTTAGAGAAATTTAAAACTGTTTTGTAATTTAAAAAATTTTACATTTTGCGTAATCTTCTTTTTCTGTACAGCTTTGGAATGACATGCCCTGCTCCAGATTTTTTGGATGATTCTTTTCTCAAGACCGCAAAGGCTAAACTTTCAGAGGAAGGTCTATTTGTTGTCAATATGGTGTCCCGATCCCAAGCTATCAAAGACCTTGTTCTTGTGAGAATGAAAGAGGTGACTACGAACATTCCATTATTATCCATCTTGGTCTTTGTTTTTGGTTTCCTTCCTCTGAATCTTATGGTTAATTGAAGGTTCACCAAAAATTCGCCACTTTCATGCTCATTTGAAGCAACATCTCTGTTCTGTTTTTCTTTTTCCTGTTTTTATCATATAAATATAAATACAATGGGTGAGGAAAAGAACATCTTCGACACTTGGGTGAACATTTCCTGTTCCCTAATAGCCTGAAAGGTGGTGCAAATTATGTTTCTATTTTGCATCGGCAGCAGATTTGCTTACTGAATTATGTATTTAGAAACTTTTATTAATGTTAAATTTCAAATTTTATTGTCCATATAGGTCTTCAGCCACCTCTTTTGCCTCCAGCTTGACGAGGACGTCAATGAAGTCCATTTTGCTCTCAACACGGAGTCCTGCATTGAGGATAACCACTTTTCTGATGCTGCTCTTAAGCTTGAGCAATTGTTGAAGTTTGAAAACCCAAAGATGTGCAAAAATGTTATTGATGCAACAGGGAAGATCAGACGTCTGAAGTGAAACCCAGCACATTGGAGTTCCCTAATCCTCCCTATGAACGTGCTTCTTTAGATAAAATGATTTTGCGAAGCCATATGGATTTGTTGAACCCCACGAAGCAATTCCAGCTGATCATGGTGCGTGGGAAATCTTATTCATCTGCAGATTGGATTGTCTAGTGCCATATCAAGATACTTTGTTGAATCACACAGATAGTTTCTTGTAAAAAGATTCAAGCGACTTCAACGTTTCTCTTGGTGGATCTGTCAGTCCATTGCCCAAGAAATTCTGAAATCTTTCTAAAGGGGTGGGGTGGGGGGATGAGATACCAGGATGTCATTTTGGATGTGAACAAATTGAATGGAACCATCATGCCAGAAATTTATTTACAGGTTAGCTCAAACGCGGAACATTCTTCTCCATTACAAACATATAATCAGCACAAGTTTACACGAATCAAACTGAGAATAGAGTAGACAACATCTGACACATAATGGACTGATCCGTAGCGCATGAATTTGTAAGGTCCTCGTTTGGATTCGCCGGCAGCCTCAAAGTTGGGAGGATCCATCTGTTCTTGATGGTGATGAGCATGTGGCTTTCACGGCCAAAGTCTTAACAACACCCTGGCACGGGTTACCTCCGAATAGATTGTTTGAGATTTCAATGGAGCAGCTCCTCTTGCCTTGGCAAGCCTATAAAACGTACAAATACCTTTGTCTTAACGGAAAAAGTATACAAATCTAAATTATGTCAAATTAACCTTTTTTTTGGGGGGTGGGGGGGAAGGATCAGGCATTTGTATACCGTGCCATAACTGGTTTGACAAGACCAAAAGCCAGAAAATCACTACGGTTAAAACCCTAAACCGTGTCAAATCAACTCTAGCATTATCATTTACACGGAAAATCACTACCACGATCCCTGAAAAAATCAAGATGTCAGATATGAAGAATCTAACTTAACTCCACAGCACTAAATGCATAGGAACTTTAGTTTCCTTTTCATTGTGGTCCAAAGACTCTTTCTCCGTAACAATTTTATCACAAGTACTGGTTTAGAAGAGGGAAAAATTCACTGGTTGGCAGAGTTTACCTGGGAAACCACGGACGCTGAATTAGGTGCATGGCAGCTTCCTCTAGCAAAATTTTGACAGCTACCTTGAGGAGTTCCATAGCTAGCAAACGTTATGGACGAGATTACATCTCCACCTTGACAATACAAGTTCATTTCAGGTGTCATATTGCTTTTGAGAAACTCTTGACCGAAAAAATCCGAACCTCCGAACTTTGACAAAGCAGGATAGTGAGATTCTGAAACTTTAGCACATATAGTTCTGGCCGAACGTAGCTTAACTGAAATATCAAATGGATTTCCTCCAGTTTCTTCAAAAATGACAAGCAAGTTGTGTGATGCTTGCAACCATGAACGTGGCACGTGATACCTGGAGATTGATCAATAACTTGAGTCAAGGAAAGCCTGAAGTCGAAATATTTCTAGTACGAAAATGAATGTCAGGTCAAAGATGAAACTTTGAGGGGCTTATCATAATTATGGCGTTAAATTTTTTTGTAACCAGAAGCTAGCAGTTTTAGCTGAAGTACAGGATTACCAGGTTTGGGTAGGTTTTCCACAATTAGTTACACACTTGTCTGAATTATATGGCCCACGATAATCACATGCTTTACATCCATCCTTTGGGGCAACCAGAGTCCAGTATCTTCCTATGTGGTGGCCGTTCACCCAAGCCTGACCTTTTCCCATGCTTGCCAAATCGAGAGCAACTGGATCCGTTCCGGCAGGGGCATCAAAATATGTCTGCTTGATATAAGAGAAAAGATTAGGTGAGTTATTATAACATATTACTTTCGATCCTTAATATAAGAGTTAGTTTGAATTTAAATTTGATCCTAAATATAAGACTCAAGTTTATTTTTTTCCTCATATTTATCCATTTTTTTTAAGATAGTCTCTATAATAGTTACACATATTAAACATTTCATCAAATGACATTTGATTAGTAAGGATATTTTAAAAAAGACAATACCTATTTATTACATATAACTAATTTAATTAATTTTCTTAATCTACTCAAATTAGTCAACTAGCTCTTATATTAAGTACCGGAAGTAGTAATAGCTTTTGGCACAAGAAGCCCTTGTGCCGTGGAGCACTTTCATACGTTCTGCGATCAGAGATCAGGGGTCATAGGATTTACTCTATGCATGGTGTGTGCTAACTACCAGAAAGGGGGAAAGAACAGGAGTAAACAATCATAAAGAGAATGGAGAGACAACATTAGAAAAAGTTACCACCGATTTCAAAAGCCCCTTTACCTTGTACCATGCGAATGTCGATGGAACGGCATCGTGGGTCAATTCAGCCCATTCTGCCTCTTCATTGTCTTCAAGGTAAAATTTTAAAAACTCGCCCTGAAGCCCAACCTTGTACCAAAATGAATAAACTAAAGTTAGTATGCACCACTTTTTTATACTCAGAAATCGGTATTAAAAAAAAAAAGATACACAAACAATAATCAATAATGATAAATCCGTGACTTATTATTGATAAATTTCAGGGAAAAAACCAAAATCGCTCCAAAGCCTGCACAAATATGGGCTAACCAGATTTTTTGGAAGTTATAATCATAGCAGATAGAATTTTAGATTATTTATAGTAGGAAGTTGCATTATTTACAAGTCATACAAAAATACAGCTTATTTCAGGCTCCATGCAAATGCATCTGGCCTACGAATCAAAATGTGATTAATGGAACCTGCAATTATTTTATTTTTTTTGGGGGGGGGGGTTGTTTGGGTGTGTGTGTGAAACTATGTTCTCTTCCCAAACAGAACAAAAAGGAAGGAGAATTAGCAGCTCAGGCATATGGAAGGACAGAAAATAAACCTTTATCAGACAAGGACACTCTCCATGCATAGAGTAACTTCCTTAGCCTCCCCTCAGACCATTGCTTACCCAGATAATTACATCAATGGCTCTCACTCTCTCTCATCCAGCTCACGCACTTCATATCCCATGTGATTTAATTAGTTAATAATGCCAGATATTCCTTTCCTGCCCCTCTTTTCACCTCACCAATAACTTTCGTCCTAGGTCTTGTTCTTTCTTCTTGTTACGTACATCTTCCCATCTAAGGGCGTGTTAACACCGGACACCCCCATGACCTTCACCAGAATTAGTGATGTACTGTTTCGATTTCTCGACTTCCAAACTTGGGCATTTTCAATTTTACCAGCTAACATACAGAATACCTTTTTAGACCTACATAAATCATACTAACTGAAATATTAAATACATACCTGGTAGGTCCATAATGACTTTGAAAGATCAATGTCTCCGTTTTTAAATCCAGTGAGCTTGATTTTACCTCTAATTCCCGCCCCATCCTTCTCAAGGTAGGCCCCATAATTCTGTAGCATTGTATCGAATAGAGTAATATTATATATAGAATCAATCATCAATATTTCTTCTGGGTAAAAACCAGAACGAAATCAACACTGATGTGGAAATTTTGAGAAAAACTATTGCTGGTAAAAGAAATTCAAATAGGACGGTCACAATAAACTGGTGCTACTTGATCCTAGTCCTATGGATAAGAAAATATAAACTTTACCTGCAAGCCCACTGTTTGAGTTATTAGTATCAAATCATTGTGTCCTGGGGAAAACTGAACAGTCTGGGCCACTGTGACTGAGCGACCAATTGCATTGCCTTCACTTGGAAAAGACACCATAAATTTCACAAGAGTTAAGACCAAAAAGGAAAAAAAAACAAAGAAAGAAATAAAGAGAAAACATCTCAGGCATAACAACAATGATAAAGGGAAAATCTTTATTCTTAGAGTTGCGATGGAACAGGATTAATTTCTTCACTTCTTTTTGGTATTCGGCAGATGGTTTGTTTTAAAGAGATTCCTTAGAAGACGTGCAGAAGCATTGGAAGTTCTTCCGCATTAATAACTTTCTCAGTTCTCATTTTTGCGTTTTCTTTTATTGCGCATCTGGTGCTTATACTGAGGATGATATGCCACTCTCCTTGGAGTAAAAAAGCGGTTCTTTCACCAGCCAAGAGACCCAAAAAACACTTAATTGAAGGGGAAAAACTTTGTACTCCAAAATATGAATAGTATAAATCAACAATTTTCCACACCAAAATGTAAATAGCATAAACCAACAAACCGCTGATGAAAAAGGAAAATTGATAGCTGGCGTATCATTGAAGCATTTGAATTATAACGTTCAAACTTCATATATACGTGCTTCGTTTGTTGTAACATTAACAAGGTCATTTAAAGTGGCTGAAGCATTCAGAATGTACGCAATAGTCATCTCATGCACTAGCTTAAGAACAGCATGGAAGAGGAAAAGAAAAGTAAACTAATACTACCTCTGGTCCTTAATATAAGACCTTGTTTGATTTTTATTTTGGTCCTAAATATAAGACTCTAATCCACTTTGTCTCTCATATTTATATATATTTTTCCAATGTGGTCCTTTTAACAATAGTAGTTTTAACCAATACACTTAATTAGCAAGGATATTTTAGGAAAGACAACACCTATTTATTACAAATAACTAACGTAACTTCCTTTCTTAATCTCCTTAAATTAGTCAACTAGCTCTTATAATTAGGACCGGAGGTAGTACAATTTGTTTGAGAAAGAGAAACAGCCACTGTGTTGAAATGGAGACCTTATCAGAGAAGATGAATGGTAGTTTGATGTATGGAGGTTAAAGACAATAAAATTGAGATGGATAGCGTTAATTTAAGAAGAAAGGGGTGGGGGGCTTCAATACTAATGAATATGTTGCTAGTAACAAGTAGGATTTTAACCCAAAGCTACTTTTCAGAGGTTAGATGGTGGTAGACATCTCATATAGTAATTTATTAATTATCATTTTAGTTTCAATAGTAAACATATGTTAAAAGCCTTTCTAAGACAGCTAGATTATAAATTCTTCTATAGTCAGATTAGAGCTTTCATGGAAGAATTATGATTTAGGGATATTTAAAATAAAAAAAATCCAATTTAAGAACAACTACATGAGTGATTTATGAGCTTGAAGAGCGCCTACTTAGTTAAGATGTAAAACACACATGACTCTCTCTTTCGCCAAAAAAAAAAAAAAAAAAACTCAGGGAACCAATTTTGTGCTCTTAAATTGAAAATTTTATCACCAAGAGTTCCAATAGTAGGAATGAACATAAGATTAAAACAAAAATCTCCAAATACATATACACCCTAGATTTGGTGAAATATAAGATCCAATACCTATGAGCTGGCCATTAACAAAGATGAGCAAAATATCACGGATGCTGTCTATAGTAAGTTTTGGACGAATGTTATTTTTCTCCCAATAAAAGATGTCACCATCTGAAATGAAAATTCTGCATTTGATACAAATGTCAATAGACTTCAAATGGAATCAAATCACAATATATAATTGACTAGTCCAACTAGGCATGGAAATGAGCTATAAAAAATATCAGGATGTCCTTCTTCTCCTGAACAGTATTCGCTGCAATTTCAAAATAAAAGGATTTAGTCCACTATCCTATACAAAATGATACATTGTACTGTAGCGTGGGTTAAGATGGCTGAGGTTCTAGGCCTTTTAAGAAATAGGTTTCCTCCTTGAGATTTCTACAAGGAACCAATTATCCTGAAACAAGCTTAAAGGCACTTTTCAGGATCATTGAGACACCCCTCACCAGAAAACCTATTGGATTTGAAGCATGGACAAAACACTGACCTACTTTATGATAAGCTTAGATTTTATTTAATTAGGCAATCAATGGCCTCACCAAGGATCACGCTCTTGACAATTACATGAAAAAAGGATCCAATACCGCCATGTCAAGGAATAACTGAATTCTGTGTAGACTTGAAAGTGAAATTCATTTAATAAGAGGAAAGAGTGGGAAAATGAAGATTATTTCTATATTGGTGGACGATGGCATAAAAAGGACTCAAAAAGGCAACAAGCATACATACCATACATGACACATAATAAGAATTAAACTCAAACTGCAGCAGGTCCCACAATATCTTTCATGAACACAGAATCTCACTGCAAAATCATCAGGAGTTCATAGTTACCTGGTTGCATACCACAGATAGTCAGATTGGTCCTTTGTGACGTTCAAATGCTCCAATATACCTTGTACAGTGAAATTGTTTTCACTCCACACACTGATTGGCTCATTTATTGTCATCCATGATTTTGAGATGTATGGCATGCTATTGTAGCTCATTAATTGCAGGGCTGGAAAAAGATCAGAAGCTAGAGGCAAATCAGACTCTACCAGTTTGACTGAAGTTTGAGCTCCAACCTATGCAAAGTTTTGCAAGAAAGAAATTTGAGAACAACAAGATAATAATTATGAACATTTCCACAATGAGTACAATGACATTTTAAAAAAATATTTTCCCTGCCAAAGAGTGCTTCTGAGAACACAGAATCCTCCAAGAATTTTTTTTTCTTAAAAAGAAAAACTAACTAGCAAAAAAACAAATTTTAAAAAAAAAAATTATTAGTTCAAGGAAGGGCCTTCTTGTCAAGCAAGTCATTAAACCTACCTTGGCTGTATTAAAAGCAGCATTCCTGCAGTCTGGCAATATACTCACTGACCATGGTGGTATGGTATATTTTTGACCACGGAATATTACAGTAGCAGTTTTTCGTTCATCAATATTGGCAAGAAATGCAGAGCATCTGCCATGAAATTCAGATAGAGATGAGTTCAGTTCACCTGGGTGAACATCTGTGTGGTAGACATGTGCCTGGAATTAAGAAACAAAACAAATCGATTGATATTATCAAAAAAGAAAATAAAAGAAAAATTCAGGGAAAGCATTCAGATTACACAAATAACTCACCTATATAATTTTGCATACTAGCAAAATTCAGGAAATTTCCTTAAGAAATCGATATAATAAAAATATGTCAAAATCCCTAATATGGTACCAAGAAACGTTCATAAAGATTGATTGACACCAAAAAACGGAAAAAAGAAAAGGTTTCCCATGTAGGTAGGATAAATGCACAATGTTTTTATAATAATCGTGCAGGATAAGATGGAATAAAAGGAATTATTGGAAGTTCAAAATATCAATTTGATCAATAATCAATAGGTAATTATTTTATTTAACTAAAGCACTATACATAACCAACTGAAATGGGAAATTCCAATTCACACAAAACAAAAGGTGAGACAATATCTCTCTAACTGATAACTCAACTAAATTTTAAAATTACACCAATTATATAATTAAAAATTTATAACATCACAAAGTAAAGCAGGAAATCAGCGCAGTGTGAAAGAAATTTGCTTTAGCTGATGTTAAGATTGGGCTGGTAATTTTTTGATAGGAAATCTTGCAAAATATACAAGGTAGCAGGATAAGGTACCCCCTTAAAATCAACAGTTAACTAAGAACATTGAGTGAGGCTTAGGCTACAGTTCCATATGCACTGCATTGGTTTAATTAATAAAATATGTCTTTTCCATTCTTTTTAATAAAAAACAGTGGACATCATAAAGTTGTTCATTGCTTTCTGCTCTGAAGGGTGGAAAAATAGAAAACCATTTTTAAAAACCGAGAATAAAAAACAATTTTGTCAATTGTTTTAGAAAAGACATCAAACAAACCAAATCTGCATTTGTGAAATTGAATACGCCAAAACCAATATCTATTTTTCATTCCCCCACATAATCCTATATCTATTTTCTGCATCACTTCATGACAAATGTTAAATTCATTCCGTGCTATAAACGAACACCAACTGCAGAAAAAGACAGTTTATCCCACTCAATGTTGTTAACCGCTTTCCTAAAAATTTGGTCAGGTAATTTGGGGTAGGCTCAAACCTCTTGCTTTGGGCCCAATTTTATATAGGTTGATGAATCAGAGGCCGCTAGAGCAGGCTCACAGAGCTTTATAGCAGCATGTAAATCTTTCAAATGTCCCCACTTTGGCTCACTCAACAGACCTAGATAAAGAAGCTTCTTCAAGTATTATCAGTCATGAAAGCAATTGTATAAACCCCTAGGTCAGCTAACAACAGAAGGAAAAAATATTTATTTTTCCCTCTACATACCATACTCATCAATTGGAGCATCATAATCATAGCTTGTAATGTAGAAGGGCCCCCCAGAAGTTCGGCCAAAGTTTGTTCCACCAAAATACTGCAAGCCAAGGCAGGATTGTCAAAGAGATGGATCGTACATAATTACATATTATATATCATCAAAACCAAAATTCATATTAAATATGACAAACTTGATGGCATTACATCATATTTATTATTTTTAAAATAAACACTGATGTTGAAGAAGGGAAATGGGAAATGTCCAAAAATCTTATTTCTCTCGTGTTAGTCATGGAAATCATAGATTCTAGGAAATTGCATCTTAGTGTTCATGAACGTATAGCACTTTAGAAGGATTATCACCCAAATGTTGAAACTTTGAGAGGCATGGTTACTAAACTCGAAAACTGCCTAGGAGTGATTGGAATATTTGCCAATTGGCCAAAAAGTTAATTTTGAAAAATAAGTGAAAGAGTGAAAAAGAGACAGGTGAGAGAACATCTATGTAATATAGCGATCCAGTAACATCATTCTGGGTAAAAAACTCCAAAGTAGAACCATCATCTTAGCTATAAAGACATCAAAAGTTGCCGCAACAGAAAAAAGACATCAAAGTTCTTTTATACTCATCAAAACCAGAAATCCAGCTACTGTCATACCATATAGTAATTGTGAAAGCTTCCACCACGTTCAAAAAATCGAGCAACAGCAAATGCAAGATCTTCAGCAGGTCGATGAGGCAACCTTCCACCCCACTCTGTGTACCTTCAATTTGGTGTAACGTAATCACTTCATAATCAAATACTAGTTAAGATGTAAATGCCTTTTCTCATTTTTGTTTCTTTTTTCTTTGGAACACATAAATAGCCCACATACGATAAGAACTTAACTCCCCTCCCCAATGCTTTATCTGAAGAGCATCAAATAAAACGTATTCTGTCTAAGAAATATTGGTAAAGGATGAAAAGTAAAGCAAAAGGTGAGGAGCAGAAAAATGCACACAATATTGACCTTTTAGCCAGCATTAATATCGATACTATGACTACTTAATTATGCTTGTGCCCTTTAGCTTTCATTGCACCATGATTAGCCACTTTTATCCCATGAAGTAACTACCCTCCTATTCCCAATCCATTCTCCTAACTGCATAATATTTTCCTGAACTCCTTAACGCGTCAGCATCAATGATGTTAAAGGTAAATATGAGAAGGATGTCTTCATAATTCATACCAGCCATCCCAGTCCTCTGTCCAGAATATTGGTTTGTCCCTGGAGTTTGGTTTAAAACCATCACAGTAATATGCATTGCATGAATCGATCTGTGGAGGAAATATACAATATATGGATAATAATGCAAATAATAAGAGAAGCCTGAACATATGCTAGTCCAAGTAAGTAACAGTATTCAAGTGCAAATTCCAGTTCATTTTTCAATTGTAGAAAGTCATAGAAGATTACAATATTATGTGGAGCATCAGGTTGCTTGCACATGACCCATGGAACACCAGCACCAAGACTTAGAGCCATTCTAGCTGCCCATTTAACATACTCTTTCCCTCCCTTACCAAAGGACCTTTCAATGTTCCCATATTCATTCTCAATCTGATCAAATTCAACCAAGAAATGCATTATTAGGCACTAAAAATTATAAAGGGAATTTTATCAGATTTATACTTGCATCTGGCAATTCCAAGATGACGGAATAAATCATCTGCAGCAGAATAGTTAGGTCAGCTCATAAGCTAGGCAACAAATTAATTTCTGGAATGGATTTATTTTGTTAAAATAAAAGGTGAAGCAATTAGCTAGAATTAATATTGTAAAACAAGAGTAAATGATGGATATCTTAATAAATAAAGCAAGAGGAATGGCAATCGTCCTAAAGGCTATCAACCATGATATATCTCATGCATGTAAGATAGCACTTACATATGTGCTCAGTTCAGTCTGAACCCTAATTAACCAACAAAATAATAATAGCTATGACTCTTGGGTACTTCGTTGGGTAAAAATGATCCAGTTTCACCTGGAGATGCATTAAGCAGAAGTGCAACAAGGAAATACAAGAATTAAAAGACAACTTTAAATTTTACTGCCTATTCCGGTGACTCAACAGGTTCATGAATCTCATCTAAGTTAAGAAAATAAAATCCACTACTTCACATATATCCATACTCCATAATTATCAGACCTGCAACATAATAATCGGACCCCCCTGCCATGAAAACAACTTTTCCTCTCTCATCAGGTTCACCACCTTGGAAACAAACCGCTCCATCTCCTCCTGCGGGAAAAAAACGAGTAGATCAAGATGGTGATTACGGTGATCCTTTAAAGTCCAATGACAACAATAAATACAAAATTAGAGTCTTAAACAGCACTATCGCATGAAAATATTGAGCATATGGACAATTTCATTTTGATGTATGTATGAGATTTCAGTTTGTATAAAGGAAAACGAAAGTCAATGAAATTTTGAAATTACGTACATAATGACTTTGTAAAACCAACAAATTGCTTAGCCGACTTAATTTTTCATTCATGGAAATGAAATTTTAGAAAGAAAGGATGATACAATAACGGATAAGATAACCTCCTAGAAGGCTAGAGCAGAGACAACATAAAGGATCAACTGAAAAAGGAGAGACAAGGGGCGGAAACTTTGGCAGGACTGTTGTTATGAAAAAAAATGACCAAAGTCGACAGAGCATTCTACCTTGAAAGGTGCACTGTTTGTTCGAAATACAATACCCGGGATATCCCGCAACCACACTGGGAAACCCCTACAAGAATAACAAACAAATCATGGAAGGGAAAAATATATCTCAATTGGCCAGCAAAGAAATTTTTTCATTCAGACGTGCATTTGAATAACTGTCATGTATAAGTGGACTAAGATAGCCAAGAACTTCTTCCTCTTTTAGTCATTGATGGAAATGTTTATTTCTAAAAATAAAAATGATTTTAAGATTATAGTGCAGAAGAAGGCGAGACCCAAAGTTCCACTCTGCACACACATAAGGACCTATACGAAGATGGAGATAAAGTCCACCGGATCCAACCAGCTTCACAAACTTCACTAGATCATATCTCCCCTCAAAGTTATACTGCACAGGCACAAAATTTGTCAATGTAAAAGAAATCAAAATTCAGCATGAATAATATGTATACAATTAAAGAAACTATACAAGGCAGCCAACAATACGAGCAGCAAGAAATATAATGTTACACCTGCCCTCTAACTGGCTCATGTCCATTCCAGAAAACATAAGTCTGGATTACATCTGCCCCTCCTTCCTTGCTCTTTGCAATCAGATCCGGCCACATCTAGCATGATATAAAGCATATAATATGGCCAACTTCATCAAATGTCGTCAGAAATTTAACCACATCACTCTTTAAAAAAAAAAAAAGATGAAAGCCTTATCCCAGTAGGTAGGTATCACATCACTCTTTAACGTATTTAAGAAAAAAGTTTTAGCTATAACCCCCATTTTGGCCAGTAGATCATTGACTGAAGTTGTCTCAGTTGAATAATTTAACAGTGGTCGAAATTTCGGCATAGATTAGTAAACATAATTTTCTCGCATGCAATGATTTATAGGTTCAATTTTGTAGTAGTTCCTTGTGTTCTTTTGGCTGCTAAACCCCGATGGATCCATTGTTCAAAATGCTTACAAGCGTTCAAAAGCATTCCCCTCTACTACCTTTCGCTTCCAAAATTTTCAGGTTGTAGCTCATAGGATAGACGAATTTATGAGGAACTTCCTTTGTTCTGGATTGAGCAAATGGGAAAAACACCATGTTGTGGGTCGGTAAATTTATTGCAACTCTGAAAATCAATCAAGGGGGATTATTTGATATAGAAAAACATTGTTTTAGCGGCCAAATGTCTGTGGCATTTTCCTGTACAGACTACTCCATCATGGAACCAAGTAATTCAAAGTATGGTTTAGACAGAATTGGGCGGAAAGCCAACGCACTGATTGCTGCAATTCTGCAAGTTTCAAGAATCTTTTATGATTTTTATTGAGCATTAGTTTCTTGGGAGAGTGAGAGTGAAAAGGTTAAGTTAGGCAAAGATAATGCGAACTAAAGAATGAGAACCGCTGATTTCGTTCAGGGGAAGTTTCCAATGAGAGAGGAGAAGAAGCACTGAAGAATGCAACTTCAATATTAAAAAAAAACAAAAAGAAAAAGAAAAAAGTACAGGGGCTGAGATTATGCGATTGAACAGAACGGGAGCAACCTCTAGGTGCCCTCTTTAAATTTCACATGGATGCTATTCTCTGTGAATTACAGAAGACCGCCCATGTACATATGCTCCGTCCTCTCAAAACACAATCGAGCCATGGAAGTTAGTAGCGCACCTCGGGAGTGGCGCGGGGATAGTGAATTCCCGCTGAGATGAGCATGCGGCGCTTCCCGTCGATGATAAGAGCCCTGTGATCGTAGGTGACATTGAAGGGCTTGAAGAATGCCGCGGTTGTTAACTCAGAGTGCATTGATAGATACAGAGCAAGGAAATAGAACAATCCTTTCCTGGGAGTCATTTTGGATGAGAAGATAGAAGAGATCGACGCTGTGATAGAGAAGACTACAAAGAGCGAGGTTGGTGGATATAGCTAGAGAAGAAGCGTGTTCCAGTGGAATCCGATAGTGATTACTGATCAGCGTTGCAGCTAGTAATAGGAATTGACGTCGGATATTGATAATCCGACAAGTGTAGGAAAAAATGAATTGATATAAATAGATTTCGGCGTTTCGCTTAGGCTGTAGTCATAACGTTGACCGAAGAGGCCGTACCCGTAACGGCAGACCGTATAAATACGTGGGAAAAAACAGATAAACCTGTTATTATTAATAGAAAATCTTAATAATTTCATCTGTAATCATGACATCGACAAAAGTCAACATTTTTTAACGTGCTCCATTAAAAGCAAAAAAAAAAAAAAAAGTAAAGCTTTCGACGAACAAAACCAAATAAATTTTACGTTGTTTTCGATGATGCTATCATTTGCCTTTTTGTCCTGGGTTTTCTAAGTGGTGTCAGAATTAAGAACTCATTTTGCCATGCTCCGTAGTCATCACTTCCGTATAAATTTAAAGACGCCAAAGTCAATTCAGCTCTTTTTTTTTACCAGCAATTCAGCTAATAGTAGACAAGTAACAGAACAGAAAAATTAATTCTTCTTATGGGGTTTGAAAAAAATAAATGGAGATATATTTTTATTCACTGTAGCCGGATATTTGATTTTAAAGCTTTCCGATTAACTTCAATTTTCCCCAATGGGACATGATTCACACAACATTAAAGGTGCCACAAAACCAAGAACAACAGTAATAGATAGCAATCTCACTCTTTCTTTCTTTTTTTTTTTCCCACTCTTGCCACCAGTAATAGGTGGTAATCTAGTCTAATGGATACAAATTTTGTGATGTGTTTTATACTGTAAATGACGGAGCAACGCGGAGTTAGTTAAATTGAAATGCTATTTCGCCAACATGATTAATTTAATCCACTTAGTGAAATGAAACTTCGAATAACTCGAAATTGAAGTCTTCTATCTATTTATGCCAGGAAAAAGGGTACAGCTACGGAAACTTGTACGCTCCGGCCATAAAAAATTGACCGTATTTGTGTTCCATCAGACTCATTGTATCTGGAGAAGGCAGCTAGGTAGAACGTCGTTCTCAAAACAGCTATCCAAACTATACCACTTACAATAACAATGCTACATAATAATATTCCCGCATGTTGCGAAGGCTATAAATATACAAAAAGAAAAATTGTGCATGTTACACAATTTTTTTTTTTTTATCTTCCTTACGAAGCGTCATATTACTCAAAAAGAATTCAATAATTTCTTAATTTTCCCTAATTAATTTTCTTTTCTATTTATATTACTCCAAGCTTTAACAAATATAGTCTAACATTTTACATTTTTAATTATAAATTCCAAAAACCTGAACCAAAAAAAGAAATTAATGGGAGACTACGCAGGACAGGAGTCTCCCCATCACATCAACAAACAAGCACGGAAAGTCTATTGAAATGGAATAAATGCTAAAATAAAATGAAAGAAAAATAAACTCCTAGTCTCCTAGACAAGAAAGTAACAGTTTACTTGATATCGCATAAAGGAGGATGTACCTGTGCACATAGAGAATTAGGAATTTAATTCTAACCACAACAAACCATAACCAGAACTTTATCATAGGCCAGAAAAGCTACAAATTAGTGAAAATTAGTGCTCTTTAGAAGACCTCAGAAAATTTCAATCACTTGATTACCAGAATGCGTTGTGCAACAAGAGAATCAAATCAGAAATCTTGATCATCAGCTTCCCATTTACATCCGGCCATTGAATTTGCGTACGTATACTATAGTCCGCTTTCCTGTAACTAAACGCAGTCTTTCCCCCCTCCCCTTTTTTGGCCAACACCAAATGCAGCAATAATAATCATACTTTACTATGAATTGGGTTTCTAATCATAAGCTGTGTAAATCTTCCTATGAAAGAGAATTCACTAGTTAGCTGTTGGAAGGTAAACCCTAAACATGTCAGACTTTCTGAGTTTACGCCTGCAGGTGGGACATTTGTGTTGAGCAGCTATGGCTGCCTGAATGCACTTCTTGCAGAAAATGTGGCCACACTTAGTTGATGTCTCTTCAATCAGCTGGCCCATGCAAATTGTGCAGCTGAAGGTGGGTTCCTCGGGCAGCACCTCACGCGGAGACAGCACCTGACGAGCAGCAACATTAATCAGCCATAAAATTCAAATGATATCCATTTCAATTTTCGTCAGACACAAGGATCAAATACAAGTAGGCACTATGATTAATATCTCATTTTCGTCAGACACCAAAGACCAAACCAAACTTTAAATAAGGCCGAGAAACAGCAGCAATTACACCCCCTCTTTCTTCCTAGATTAAAATTAGAAAATATAGGTTTTAGTTTCCTATTGTCCTAGGCTCCTGGTTTGACTATTGACTACCAATATCACACATTCAGCTTCTTAATATGTTGAGTGAGTAGCCAAAGTTAGCAACACCGCAGTCATAAAATCAAATGTACATGAAAAATGCACAGATACATGGTAGCCAGCTGAAGGAAGAACTAACACTATGCTAAATGAATTTGAAAAAAAAACTAATAAGTTTACTAGTCTTCCGGGAAAAATTGGTAAAATCACAATTATACATCTCCCAATCACAATTATACTTCTCCCAGTTAAAGGGCACATAGTTCACTTTAGCTGGGAAGAGTTGAATTATCTTGAAGAAGAAAATGGAATCAATTAAAAGCAGAGGAACGGCACACGGTATTCGTTTACTTGTTTTCCGAGATCAGTGTGAAATTAATCATTTGAGCAGTCCAATGTCTTCATTATTCACTTTAAATAAGCAGGTGAAGATGCACTCCTAGAACTCCAGTCAGATAAGACTTCAACACTTGAAAATAGTTAGCTGCCTAAAATGACCCATCTAAGGCCATCAGCTGAACAATTACCATAATCAAGTAAAATATAGTCCATGAAGAATCTGGGATGATCTCTAAATAGATAATTGCCAGCAATTATCTGCATGCTGAAGATGTAAAAGAAACAATCGCAGGCTAGAGATAAGTGGCTATAATAAAAGAAAAGCAGCATATGCTACCTTGGCTACCCTACTGTCTTTCACACCTAGGTGCAGCTCACAGTCCACAACTGCTTGGTTTTGTGGATTTTCGTGTCTGTTGTCACTAATAGAGTGACAAACCGCATCAGCTGTCACTTCTGCAAACCCGGAAAATCTGTTAGTGAACCTCTCATAAAAAGAAGAAAGAGTACTGCTATCAAGGTCATATGACAACATTCACAGGACTTCCACAAATGACCAAATGCTTTATGACCAGCAGCTTCTTTCCCTTCACAAACAAAGAGGGAGGCACTAAGGAGAGAAATGGATAGAGAAAGATTCAATAAGGTAAAAAGGAATGGTACCCTTTGAACCAAAGAAAAAAATCAAAGAGTATTTCGAACCAAAACAATCATTTGAAGGAGATTGAGAAGGAGAAAACAACAGGCAGTCAAGTGTAAGACTAAACAAAATTTCCTGAAGATACAATCGGATAGCATCAAAATAAAGGGCAGTTTCTAACGCCATACAAGTCTAGCCTATTACACCAATATCACCCCACTGCCGCCTCCTTCCCAAGAAAAAAACGGAAAGACAGAAAGAAAGAAAAGAAAAGGGGACAACCACCAAGGTTAAATACGATAAAACTACAGGATGAGACGAGCAGGACAAAACAATGACTATGTACGGAAAATCTAACAAACCTGAAATGTTTCCTCTATATTCATCAAACACTTGTATAACCGCATAACTTTGACAAGCATTTTTTCTTCGAGAATTGCTCTTGGCCTAAAAGGAAAAGAGCTTACTATAAGAAGCAAATTCAAAACAACTTGTAGTTTCATGTAGAATTGACGAGAACCGAAGTTTGAATAAAGGATAGCATACTTCTTCAAATTTTCTTGGGGATATTATAACAACATCATCAAGTTCAGCATCACCTATCTGCAACTGCAAATTTTCATTACCAAGGGCTGATCCTTGAGCTGCTGCATCCAGGCTCTCCTCAAGAAGAGGAAGGTTGAGGTCCAAGTCAAAAACCACGATTTGCTGATTTTGAAAATCTCTAGCAGCCTCTTGGCCTTCCCGAGGTCCTGAGCTGCTCATATTAAAACTGAGCTCTCGGAAATGCAAATCCTAGCTGCCTTAATCATCCATAAATGTGCATTATCGTAAGCCAAGTGAAGACTTAAGCTGACCCTCAATTTCCTCAATTCACTTCGTTAAAAAATGCTTATAATTTTTTTATTTGCAGAGACATGCATTATACCTGTACTATGAATGGTTCTATTCATGATTAATCCTTAATGTTTTCTACACTTCAATAACACCCTTTTCGAATTGCAATTTATACTTAATGAATGCAAAAAGATGAAGGAAAACAAACTAAGAACTTCTATGAGCTTCTCAGAGTTAATCATGAAGCGGACGCCATTTCAACTGAATTCCCCAGAGTTAGATGGAATGTATACATATAGTTGATTTTACAAGTTATGTCCTCTTCTGTTCTGAAAGAAAGCAAAGCTTCTTAAGATTCCCCCCCCCCCCCCGGGTAAAAAAAGCTTCTTCAGATTTATTGAGAGCTTATAAAGAGGAGTGGGTGGCGAGAACCTTTTTAAGGTCCGTACAAGAAGCTAAATTTTTTTTTTTTAGGACGAATGTAAGGCTAAAAATTTCAGTCCGGGGAGAACTAGAAGTTCTTCGAATATTTCACAACCCAGTTAGAAGAATTATGCAAGAAATGTCCGTAACAGGGCAAGGTGTCTTACAGGGAGGCAGAGGCAGATAAAGAGCAAGAGAGAAATCAGAACGTTATAAAAGTCCGTCATCCTTATATCAGTTCAGAGGCATATAAACAAATAAAACCAGGAAGAAAGATCGGTACCTGAGCGGAATGAACGAGCAGCCGAGTCGCGAGAAAGAAGAGGCGAAGAGAAGAGACGGAGCGGCGGCAAGTGCTAGAAGAAGAGTCTTATAGAAGAGTTAGGAAGACGAGGAGAACGGAAAGGAAACGAGAAGGGAGAGATTAATAATAATGGCAAGTTCAAACTTTCCATGTGTGAATGTATTTGAATCGAGAATACCATACAGCCTTTGCCTTGCTTTTCTGCCTTCACGCAATTTTGGAAATACCTTCTTTCTTGCCGTTTCAATGCTCTTTCTCTCTCCATTTTCTTGTTTATTTTTATGGCATGTATCTATCCATCTATCATCTATGCTTGCGCTTTGATGTCCGCTCTTGCAGAAGTCAGCCCAGCGCCCCGATGGAAAATTGGCATTTTCTTTTTCCTCTTTATTACATCCATGTCCTAATTGGGGGCACCACGCTGTAAAGTCAACGACGTAATTTCGTTTCAAACAAATTTTGAAAGATTCATTTCTGCTTTAAGCTGAGATTTGACCAGATAAGGGGGTTCTGTCAAACGTCAATACACATAAGCCGACTCTAGGAACGAACTCCAATGTGTTTTCACATGAATGAACCTTAACTTAATAAAATTTACGATATACTTTATCATGAGCTTTCGAGGCCAAAACATTATCATGAGTTAACCTGCCTCCTCATGTTTATTACACTCTTTCAATTCTAAATACTAAAGAATCGTTTAATTTTTATTTTAATTATAAATATAAGATTCTAATTCACTTTATCTTTTATATTTATTTTTTTTTTTTAAAAAATAATAATTCTAACTAATATACTTGATTATTAAGGATATTTTAAAAAAGATCATACTTATTTATTATAAATAACCAACTTAACTTATTTTCTTAATCTCATCAAGTTAGTCAACTAATTCTTATAATTAGAATTAGAGATGGTATAAAATTTATTTTATAATGTAAATTATAAGTGAAGATGTTTTTTTTTTTAATTTATTGATATATATATAAAAGGGCAACGTACCTGCCCCCATTGCATGGGACGGTGTGAAACGTTGACTTCGGCTTTAAGCCCCGCCAAATTAAAGTTTAAGGGGGAAAGCATATTGGAGTTCCAAGTAGCGGCTACGCAGGGCTGGAGCAGCAGCGCTCAGCAAACAAACAATTATAGAGACTTGGACCTGTCAGGTTACCGGAAATGGTGACAATGAAGCGCTCATCATGGGGAAAAATTAGGAGAAATTGGATTTTATTTTATATTTGATTAAGTTAAAATAAAATTGAGAAACCAATTGTATTACACTGAGAGGCCGTCGAAAGAAACCATAGATGCGTCACCAAATAGGCTTAGGAAGGAGGAGAAACTATGATAGTTATCACGTGATACTCAAATGAAAACTCAGCCATGTACAAAATAGTAACCCTGCTAATATAAACCTTGATAATTGTCTGATAATAAAACACTCTTTTCTTAATAAAAAACATATTAAAAACTCAGTAATTACTAAAGGGGACTTTTTATGCAAAAGTGACTCCCAACACGTGGGCTGATCATTTTTGCTGTCATTGAGAAAGGTGTGGCAAAAAATGTTGCCCTGTGTTGCGATAAAGAGAAGATGCTCAGGACAGGCTATTGACACTAGAATTGAGTTTACTACTGTGTTGGGAGAGGAAAGGAAACACCATACTTCCAACACACAGCTAGACTTCTGCACAAACGAACCAGACCCTTCGTTCTGTGCGACCATTGAAGATTAGCTAATCTCGATACATGTTTACTTAGAGGCGGGTTTACAAACCACAAGAGAAAAAAAAAAATCTATTTCAGATTTTAGGTGATATTCAGTGGAAGGAGCTGACTCCATATTTCTTCCTACATACTACCTCCGGTTCTAATTATAAAAGTTAATTAACTAATTTGAAGAGATTAAAAACAACTAAATTAGTTATTTGTAATAAATAGGTATTGTTTTTCTTAAAATATCTTTACTAATCAAATTTATTGACTAGAACTACCATTATTAGAGGGACTATCTTAAAATAAAATGCATAAATATAAAAAACAATGTGGATTGAGATGTTATAATTAGGACAAAAATAAAAGTCAAACAAAATTTTATATTAAGAACAGGATGTAGTGCAACTATATGTTTTCAAGTAAATTTTTAATATAACTGAAAAGGACCTCCTTTGCTATTAAATGTGCGAGTTATGTAGTCAATCTATACATATTAAAGCAATCAGTTAAATTGTTACTTATTTCTAAAAATTGTAATTTAATTTTCTTCAAATTCTTCATTTAATTATCTTGCATTGGAAATTATCCAATTAACGAGACATTATCTAATATGCAACATTAATAAGGACAGCTTAAAGAAAAATTACAAATTCAAAAATAAAATGAATTGAGACTTTATATTTAGAGTTAAAGAAAACCTCTCGATCAATTATAGAGAGTGTTATCATAATTTTACAAAAAAAAAGAAGCAATTCATAAAATTGAGAGTTATCAAAATTTGATTTAATCCCAACATGAATGCCAAAAATAACTTAAAATAAAATAAGTGGATGTTTTGTAGATTTAACTCATTCTATAATGATTTGCATTGAGATTTTATAATAATAATTTCATGGTTTGTATAATGATCCATCTAATTTTATTTATGATAAAATTAAAAAATAATATCGCTTTGTTGGTTATCAACATAATTTTTGTCTATTTTTTAAAAATAAATACTCATATCGATCTTTATATAATTTTTTTAATATATAATAGTAGAATTTAATGGTTGCGTCGTTGTTTTGGTTACATTGTATGTTTTGTTTGTTTGTATTGACTTTTTCTTTAAAAATATTTATTTTATGGTAATTATAACTTATCACATTAATGGGTCCTGTTTAAAATGGATAACCATTAGCCAATGTTCAAGTTCAACATTATTTTTGTCTTAAAATAACCCGTGAATCTGAATTCTTTCAATTGGGTTCAAATAAAAACGGAGAATTATAAATGGATCCAATTTTTCGATTTTCACTGGAGATTAGAAATAGATGGACTCTATAATCCTATTTCACTGACGGGATTATGCCCAAAAAATAAGTTTCCTGCAACTAACCCCAATCGAAGGATCCAAATCCAATTCATTTTGTCATTTTGCGCTTTGGCATCAAGGTCCACCCTCCTCCCATCGTAGCTTAAAAAAAAAAAAAAAAAATCAAGGCTCGTTTGAATTTTCAAGGGAAGAAAAGAAGAAAAGCGCCAATTTTCACTGGCAACTAGCAAGGGCACCCGCTGGTCGAGCTCTCAGAGCAAACTAGAGCGTGCGTCACCTCGGTTTCAAATTTCCCTCTAGTGATCCCTAGCAGTTCGACATCGCAGAGACATTTCGCTACAGCCGAGAGTCCACTGAGTTAAATTATTTGCATTTTCCATAAAAAATTGCAGAACAATCTCAATCCATTCCATCGTCATTGCCACCCATGGAGCTCCCCGCCCTTCGCAGGTCGTTCTCCCTCTTCTGTTTTTTTTTTTTGTTTGGTTCCTGCAATTCCTCTTACTTGCTCGCTATTCTTTTTCATACTTTTCTTTCAGTCGATTAAAGGAGCTTCACGAGTGTTGCGGCGAAGACGTTCCTGAATTAAACTCTCTGGACACAGAGAAATTACTGCAGGATTCTGCTCTTGAATTGGAGGTATCGTTGCATTATTAGCATTGCTTTCTTTGTCTCTTCCCCGGTCACTAAATACTATATTGTGTTTTTCTTATTTACAGAGCAGAATACAGCAGATTGTGTCCGAGTGCTCTGATGTGGGTTTCTTAGAAGATGGTGATATAGGTGAGTACTCTTTTAGTTCTTCTGAATTTCTGGTGAGACAAGTTTCTCTGCAGAATTGTATAGCGGGTATAGTATATGACTTTCAGCAGCCTTCCCATCGGGTTTCCTTCATTGAAGGAGTGGGTTTTCGCCTTTCTTGTTCTTGTTTCTGTAGCTTTTTTCCTGAGGCGGTTCAATAGATTAGAGTCCGCTAGAATTAGTAATTTGGTAATCGAGTTCAGCTGTATGGACTTCGAAAGCACTGCTGTGTTTTCTTGTGCCATCTGAGTCTGGATATTTTACTTCCGTCGTTCCATTCTCACCCTGACGCTTACGCGTGGAACCTTAGAGGGGGAATTAAGGTGAAGCAGAGAGTTACAAAATTCATGGTGAGATTTTATAAGTTGGTCGGTTTTCACACAGATGCTTACTTAGAGCATTTGAAGGAGGAACATAACAAGGTGGAAGTTGAAAGCTCCAATATAGCTAAAGAGATTGAGCGGCTTACCAAAATGCAGAAAGAAGGTGATGCCTTTGACTGTGTCTTGCATGTCTATCAGGAGATGGAACCTCCTTCCCCCCCTCTCTTTTTGTCATTCATTTACTTTTCTTGATTTTCCAGATTCACACATGTTGGAGGCTAAACTTGAAGAACTGAAATGCTCTTTAGATTATGCCACATTAAAGGTTAGTTGTCGATTGAAGGTGAATTCACTATATTTTACTCTTGTTGGTCAACTAAGAAGCTGTAAACTTAAATTGAAACCTAGTGCGGCATTTTTTTATCCTTCATTGAAATGAAATCCTCTCAATGATATGCTTTCAGGAATCAAATTTTCTGTTTGATGTTTGAAAGGAATACACTTGCAGCATCTTCTGGATAAAATATAAAATACATATTTTTGACAAGCTACACTATTCATAAGCCATGAACAGTGTAATTGATTTATCAGACTTGTTTAATGTATGGGGTTGACATCTGGTTGGCGTCTAAAAACAGATGCCAAACAGTATAAACAATCAGAAGTAATAGCTTTGCTGATTTATAAATATGCCTCTTTACAAGTGAATAATTATTTAAGCGACGTCAGAATTTAGATAGAATACCAAACATTTATATTTACACCAACGATCCAAATTACCTATAGAATGACAGCGGTTGACTGTATGGTCATAATACCAATCCTTCTGGCTTCTTTTGTTCTTACTTTGGATTTGGTGCTGATCATATAGTTTTATATTTCCATTTTCTGTTTTCAATGATTTAGATGAACTTTGTGAACCTACTTCAAGTTGTGCTTGATTGATTAAGTCATTGCGTTGTTATAGCAATTGGTGATTTTGTACAATAAACATGTCAATTTTTCCAGTCTTGGTTGAAATCTTGCCTGTGAGGCATATGAGATTTTCATTGTAGTAATCATATTTTGGCTTTGGTTCATTATATTACGAGGATCTAAAGACTGCAAGGGCAAGTGAAGGTGTTGATGCTCATATGCTAGACGATAACCAGTCAAGTTTGACCACTGCACATGA